GTTCACTGGCTTCTCTGTAGGACCATGGGGTCTGTCTGATTTGCCCACTCTTGCTCTGCTGAAGGGCATAGGGACCCAAGGCTGGGTGGGCGCCGTCGGCTCATGGCTGCAGGCCAGGCAGGGGATGAGAGACAGAGGGCTTTCTGCTCCCATCTTCACTCCCTACCAAATGAGCAATGAAACCTGGGAGACCCAGCCCCCAGACCCCTGGCTGGAGCCCACTTAGTCTTCGTGTCCCTGGATTGGACAGGAAGCATGGTGGGCCTGAGGCTCCGATACTGCAGCTCGAATCCCCACCCCCTGCTGACCTCAGTTTACCCTCACTGTCCCACTGCAGCAGGGCAAGGCCTCTCCTTGGGCCTCCTTTCACACCCCACTCACAAGCAAGTTGGAGGCCCTGAGGAAAACATGGCAGTAGGAGCCAGGAGGGCTGGCTGATTACCAGCTGCATGTCCTGGGTGGAGCACGCAGCCTCCCCGGTCTCAGCCTTTCTCTAAAGTGAGTGGCCGGTACCTCGGGGACTCCTGGAGAGGTTCCAGAACTCCCACAGAGGAGCTCCTGATAGTCCTTTTCCCACCACTGCTGTAAGGGAACTGGGGAGTGAGCCTGCCCGTCACTCCAGGCGTTTCCCAGCAGATCTTGACCCTGACCAGACACACCTGCCAGGGAGGAGCACTCAGGGCTGCTCCCTCACACTGTGCCCAGGACACCTCCTTTCCAGAGGGCTCAGGGCTGATGGCAGGATCCAGGCTTCTCCCACTCCCAGGTGGCCCCATTCACTTACTTCTCATGACTGAGCCTTGGCTCTGTCGGCCTGGACTCCCTGTCCTTCTCAGCGAGGGGTGGTCCAGGGATGGGGTGCAGCTGGCAGCGGAGGTGGGGGTGAGGCCCTCTCAGCAGTGCCTCAGCCCACAGCTCTGCACCTAGCTCTCCCCCAGAGATTCTGGGCAGGGGGGTTTAAGCTCGCACCACACAGGTGGCCAAGTGACAACACCCCCCACCCCCCCAGGGGTGTGGTGGGTAGGATGACGGGCGCCCCACGTGGCCAATCTGGGCCTGGGTAGGGTGTGAGGGGCGGGACAGCCAATCATAGGGGGCGTTGGAAAATTCCAAAACCACATGTGACAGCCACAGGCGGTAAAAGCTGTTTCCACCCGCCAGGGTAGGTCTAGCTGGGGAGCCCTAATGGAGCTCGTGCGAGCTGTGGCCGGGCTCCTACTCCCCTCCCCCAGAGGACCCCCCCGAGCCTGACCCTCTTTGCCAGGTGACTCCGGGATCAGGGATATTTCCAGAGGTAAGTCACAGAATGTCTGCCCCAGGTGGTGGCATGTGCCACCTGAGACCCTGTAGCCTGCCGTCAGCCCTGCCCAGTGTGGTACATGCCTATACGCCTCCCTACCGACTCGATGCACACTCTGGGCCTGGGGGTCAGTGAAATAATAGCAGCAGTAATAATCGTTAGGCAAATACCCACAGTGTGCAGAAGGGCTCCTCCATCAGAAATGTCCCCAAGAGCAAAATGGCTAAAATCAGAATGCAGATAACAATACCATCATCATCGTCATCATTGCTGCCACATTCGTGGTCATAGTAATACTGCTTGCTATGTGCCAGAAATGGCTGGCATGGGTTGTCTAATCCTCACAGAATTCTGTAAGAGGGAGCTACCATTATTACCATTTCAAAGATGAGGAAAGTGAGACACAGAGAGGTTAAGTATCTTGCCAGGGGCCACACAGCGAGTCAGTGGTGGAGTCTGGATTCAGGCCCCAGAGTCCACTTGAGGGAATGGGAGGGCTTCTCTGGTTCAAGTCTGTTCTTGAGACTACCTTGGCCTGGGAGGTCTCCTGGTATCTGAGTCTCTGTAAGGTTTCTTGGGGGGTCCTTGTGAGGGGCCAAAACTTTCCGAGGCCCTTTCAGCCTACCTGCTCTGTGGGGTTCCTCAGCTCTCGGGGTTCTTCTTCAGAGCGCCTTAATATTTAGGCTCCCTCTTGGTCTAGGAGTTCCCTTCAGGTTCCACATCTGGGACTCCCTTCTTTGGGTTGTCTGAATTTGGGGGCCATTTTCAGAGTCTCTCGGCCTGGGGGAGGCCCTAGTGTCTCCTGGATTCTCTGGACCAAGCCTCCCAAACAGTCTCAGATCCTGCAAGGACTCGAGCAAAATCTCGGCCAGTGCAGGCCTTTCCCTGCCAGTCTTCCTGGGCTCCAGTGGATTGAAGGAGACCCATCAGCCCGGGGTCCCCACGGGGACAATCACCACTGTGGTAAGGGGACTGGGACGGGGACACAGGGGTCAAGATCTCCTGGCCAAGGTCTCTGCAGTAATGGGTTAAGGGTAGGAACGAGGCTTGGCCTTTCCCAGTTCCCGCTGCTCCAAAAGTCCCCCCTCTCCCCCCACCCACGTTTGGTCCCTGACCCCCTCCTCCATCTCACCTGCGTCACTCCCTGACCCGCTTTCCTCCCAGGGCCCTGCTCAGCATTTCCGTGGGGCCCTGTGGCTAGGGGCAGGCGAGGCACTGACAGGATTGTGCTGAGCAAAGCAACCCCCCACTAGGAGGGTGGCACATCATCCTAGATGGCCCCCCAGCCCAGCCGCTGGGCTCCCGAGGAAGACTGAGGCTTCGTCCTCTGCCGGGTCTCCGCTTGGAACAGGGAGGCTATAGGCGAAGTGGCTGTGGGAGGGATGGCAGTGAGCCCTCGGGAGGAACTGGTAGGCAATCAGGGAGGCCTTGGAGAAAGGCAGGTGGTCTCTCCTACCCCTCATCGATTCAGGCTACTTAGGGCATGCATGACCTTATCAGGCCCAAGTTTTGGAACCGAGGTGGAGCAGGTCCATTTTCTGGGGCACCAGCTCGCACAAGCTAGGAGAGCAGATCTGATGTGCTGAGAGGTCCTAGAGAGGACACTCATTTGCTAGTGTCCACCGGGAAGGCCTTCCTGAGCTCCAGCCCCCCTCTCTCACTGAAGTCTCTGTCTTTCAAGGCCCTAGGGCACAGAGTGTCCTGTCCAGTCCCTTTTGCTTCCTACAGAGACGATGGTGTTCCTGCTCTCCAGTCCTGCACAGCCTGGCCCAGGCTTGTTCGCACCTCAGGATGTGTTAACCACAGAGACCAACACCAAACCTGGCTCTGCCGCCACAAAGCCGGGGCAAGCTCCCTGCCTCCCGTAGCTGTGGTGGTGCTGAGCTCCTGGGGCCACCCCTGCCTCCCCACACACTCCCTCTCCTTCCTCCTTGGGCCCAGCAGCTGCCTCCAGCGTGGGCTCTCTGCTGTGTCTCTGTCCAGCATCTCTCTTCTCCTTTTCCAAGCTTCGCTTTCTCTTCATTTTCTCCTGGTTCCTGGTTTCTTTCCATGTTACTTATTTATTATTATTATTATTTTAGTTTTTTGGCCATAGGGTGCACGCACTTGCCAGAGAGAGGGAAAGTGGCCATGCTGCGATTCCTTCTCCATTCTCCTCTCAAGATTTTGGGCACACACGCTCACACACACATACACACACACACACACACACCAGTGGCATGATTTTTAAGCCACTAGTTCTGGGACTCTATATGGTCAGCCATGTGGGAGCCCAGCGCCTTAACCACCATGCCACCTGCTGGCCCCTCTCCTTATTTCTTTACTATGTTGCCTGTTACTCTGGGCCTATTCTGTCTCCTCCTGTTTCCCTTACCTGTGGTTTCTTCAGCCCTGCCCTTCCTTTCCTCCTCACTCCTGGTCCTCCATCTCTGTCCAACCTAATTTTCTTTCACAGAACCTCCTAGAGCCCTCGCTGAATGCTTCTCCATCTCCCTATACCGGCCGGGTCTCCGCTTGGAACAGGGAGGCTATAGGCGAAGTGGCTGTGGGAGGGATGGCAGTGAGCCCTCGGGAGGAACTGGTAGGCAATCAGGGAGGCCTTGGAGAAAGGCAGGTGGTCTCTCCTACCCCTCATCGATTCAGGCTACTTAGGGCATGCATGACCTTATCAGGCCCAAGTTTTGGAACCGAGGTGGAGCAGGTCCATTTTCTGGGGCACCAGCTCGCACAAGCTAGGAGAGCAGATCTGATGTGCTGAGAGGTCCTAGAGAGGACACTCATTTGCTAGTGTCCACCGGGAAGGCCTTCCTGAGCTCCAGCCCCCCTCTCTCACTGAAGTCTCTGTCTTTCAAGGCCCTAGGGCACAGAGTGTCCTGTCCAGTCCCTTTTGCTTCCTACAGAGACGATGGTGTTCCTGCTCTCCAGTCCTGCACAGCCTGGCCCAGGCTTGTTCGCACCTCAGGATGTGTTAACCACAGAGACCAACACCAAACCTGGCTCTGCCGCCACAAAGCCGGGGCAAGCTCCCTGCCTCCCGTAGCTGTGGTGGTGCTGAGCTCCTGGGGCCACCCCTGCCTCCCCACACACTCCCTCTCCTTCCTCCTTGGGCCCAGCAGCTGCCTCCAGCGTGGGCTCTCTGCTGTGTCTCTGTCCAGCATCTCTCTTCTCCTTTTCCAAGCTTCGCTTTCTCTTCATTTTCTCCTGGTTCCTGGTTTCTTTCCATGTTACTTATTTATTATTATTATTATTTTAGTTTTTTGGCCATAGGGTGCACGCACTTGCCAGAGAGAGGGAAAGTGGCCATGCTGCGATTCCTTCTCCATTCTCCTCTCAAGATTTTGGGCACACACGCTCACACACACATACACACACACACACACACACCAGTGGCATGATTTTTAAGCCACTAGTTCTGGGACTCTATATGGTCAGCCATGTGGGAGCCCAGCGCCTTAACCACCATGCCACCTGCTGGCCCCTCTCCTTATTTCTTTACTATGTTGCCTGTTACTCTGGGCCTATTCTGTCTCCTCCTGTTTCCCTTACCTGTGGTTTCTTCAGCCCTGCCCTTCCTTTCCTCCTCACTCCTGGTCCTCCATCTCTGTCCAACCTAATTTTCTTTCACAGAACCTCCTAGAGCCCTCGCTGAATGCTTCTCCATCTCCCTATACCCAGCCCCAGTTCGCAATCCCCTACTCACAGGTGTGGGTCTTCTTTGTAGCCAGCAGCTCTGTAAAGAGAAGAGAGGGGGTCAGGGTCAACGTTTGCACCCTGAGACACTTCCCCCACTCCTAGGGTCGCATCCTGGCCCGATCCTTCCCAGCAGAGGCTGGCTGCAGTCTGAGGAGCAGGTAGGCTGTGCTCTGCAGATGCCCTCTCCTCTTCCTTCTCTGCCTTTGGGCCACACGGGTCCTCTTCCAGGTCCTCAAAAGTGTCAGGCTCCTCACTGCCTCTGGACTCACCCAAGCTTCTCCTTCTTCCCTTGCACACTCCTTACTCTGACCAAGTCTTGTTTCCCAGGTCTCAGATTATATGTACTCCCGGGAGAAGCTTGCCCTCCCTCCCCTGGCCTCACACTTACACACGCTGCACCTTGTATTAGATCCTGGCACTCACCTCATACCTAACTGCCAGCACTGTCCTTATCTCCTAACAGGGCTTTGCTGCTCAATGGTAAGCCCTGTGAAGGCAGGGACTATGCCTGTCTTGTTCACTGTGTTGCATTCTGAATATGTTAGAGGTGCACAAGAAATGTTCTGTAGCTAGAGTTAAATCTCTGGGGTGAACCCTCCCCCTGTCTCTGTCTCTTCTTTCTTTTTTTCTTTCTTTATTCTTCTTTTTTTTTTTTTTTTTTTTTTTTTTTTTTTTTTTTTTACCATAGGGTACATGTGCTTACCAGAAAGAAAGAGAAAGGGGGGCAGACAGACAGACAGACAGGGAAAGTGAGAAATCATCCTCCTTGGGGACGGCCACACTGCAATCCCTTCTTCATTCTCCTCTTGGGATTTTGGGCATGCATGCACACATGCCTGGTGTAATTTTTAAGCTGTGGGGTCTGGGATTTGAACCGTGGACCATATGGGAGTCCAGTGCCTTAACCACCACGCCACCTGCTGGCTCCTGGGGATTTGAGAGTAGGGCAGAGAGGCTGGAGGAAGAGGAGAGAGAGCTGCAAACACAGAGCTCTCTCTCTTCACTGGCCTGCCAGCCAACAGAGGAAGGAATTCCTTCTCTGCTGCCGATGCTGGGTCTGGGTGGAGATCAGGCTGGGAGAACACAGGTGGGTTTGATGGGGGTAGTGGGATGCACAGACCTCCAGGAAGAGCAGCTCCCAAGGGGAGAGATTTAGCTCAAGCACGATTTGGGGGTGGTTCATTTAGACCGTTGGCTTTTATGAAACACTATGGGAAGAGGCTTCCCCTGCCAGACCTTGGTCCATTTCCTGTATCCCCACAGCAGCTCCATGGAGCCCAGGGCTAGTCTTTCTTCTCTCCAGCCTTGCCTTTTGCCCTCTTAGCTTCCCTAAACTCTGACTGTTCTGTTCCTTTTTTCTCTCTGCTATTTAATTCTGAAGCTCTCCTCTAACCCTACAACACACTTACTGTGTCTCTGTACCCAGGAGAGGTCCCTATTCCCACTGGCAGGCTTCCTAGGCTGGTTTGCATTGGGGTGAGCAGGCCTGAGGGCCTGGCCTCTGCTGGAGTGAGGAAGAAAGGGTGTGAGGGAGGGAATGGGGTGCCCAGAGGGAGGGGCTCTATTTGGCTCCACCCAGCTTCTTCCCTGACGTGGCACCTGTTCTCTGGCCTCCGGCCCTGCACCTCAGAGCAGTCTGGGCTGGGGGTGATTTCTTCACCTGCCCAGGTGGCCCTGGGGCTTGGCACCTCTGGTGCTCACAATTTCCCCTCCATGCAGTGCTCACAGCTGACCAAGCACGTGGCTGTGTGATCTTGCTAGAAGGAGTTCCTGAACTAGATTCCCCACAGGGCCAAGAACTACCTGACTCTGTCCCTCCCTGCCCCTGGCCCGGTGCCCCACATTCTCTGCAGAAATGAAACCCCACACCCCCGGGTCAGGGGAGGAATGTGCCAGGCCAGTGGTCACAGACAGCAGATGGGTGTGGTTGCTCTCCCCCGAGTCTGTCACTCCTTAAGGGCAGGGCAGGTCCCTCCACTGGGAAGTGTGTGGAAGGTGGGTAACCAGTCTCCCAGGCACTGTGGCCTGAGGTCCTGGCTAGCTGGGGGTCACGATAGCAGTGTCCCCTGCAGTGGCCAGGGGCAGGCTCATGCCTGGAAGGCCTGCCCACCTCTAAGCCCACACGCGATCCAGCCCCCCAACTCTGCTCTTCCCCTTCCTCTCCTCACCCCAGCTGTGTCTTCCTAATTAACTTCCCTCTTTCTCACTCCTTTTCCTACGTCTTCCCCTCAGCCATCCTCCAGACCCTTTTCCTGTTTCCAGCTTGCCTCAGCCCCTGGCACTCGCCTGCCACTCCTCTCTCCTCCGTGCTGCTGTCCCCCTGCCTCTCCTCACTGCCTGCCCGATCTCTTCCCATTTCTGCCCTCCTCTGAACCCCCTGACAGTCCCTTCCACCTGCCTGCAGGGCCGCGGGGCCTCTTACCCCGTGAGGCTCGGTGGTGTCTCTGTGGGGCCCTGTCCATGGGGCAGCTGCCTGGGTGCCGTCCTTGCTGCCCTGGCTGCCCAGGAGGGCAGGGAGCAAGGCCCAGGGAGGGAGGAGGGAAGAGGGAGGGAGCACCTGGCCTGCCAGCAGGCAGGGGAAAGGAGTGGCTGGCAGAGCAGAGCGTCCTGGCACCAAGAGGGGACGTGGGGACAGACCAGCCAGCTAGGGTTTGAAGCCTCGAAGAGAAATGGGACAGATGCAGGGACGGAAACTGTGCTTATTATTGTTTAATCTCTTTAAAAAGTATATTCATTTTCTTCCATGAGAGAGACAGAGAGAGCGAGCACCCCCAACACACACGGTCTTCAAGGCGACCCACTCAGCCTCGGCCAGCCAGGACAGGCACACGCAGAGGAGCCTGAGCTGTGCGGGCAAGCCCCTGTCCCTCCCATGGGAGCACCACGTCGCAGTGTCGCACTACCACTGCGCCACCAGCCGGCCCATGGGAATCCGCGTTTCTTGATCACCTACTGTGTGCTGGGCCCTTTGCCAGGCAGTCTGTGTGAACCCATGAGTTTACATAATCCGCCAACCTACACCACAGGAAGCATACTTATTGCGGATTCACCGACGAGTCCATCAAGTTATTGTTGACTTGCCCAAGGACGATCAGCGACTGAGTTGCGACTTGAACACACGTCTTAGAGACTGCAGAATCCCTGGGAACCAGCAGTTAGCGTAATGGCTATGTCGCTGAATTCCCACGTAGTCGACCGCGGTTCGCATCCTGGACCCAGTGGCTTAAAACTCACGCCAGGCGCGTGTGTGTGCGTGCCCAAGATCCCGAGAGGAGAATGGAGGAGAAGGGATTGCGGCGTGACCATCCCCCATGGGGGGCGATTTCTCGCTTTCTGTCTCTATGTCTCTCTCTGTCTGGTGAGCGCACGCGCCCTATAGTGAAAACCTCTCCAAAAAAAAAGAGACTGCAGAATCCAGTGGTTTCTACCTAAGACAGGAGATGGGAACAGGAGAGATGGGGAGGGGAGACAGGGCAGAAGGAGGGCACATCTGGGGGGTCTCTGCCTCTCCTCCAGGATGGGGCCAGACTCAACTCAGTGATCCCTCAGCTCCTTGAAGTGGCTTCCTACATGGCTCTTGCCCCTGCCCTTTGTCACCTTTCCCCAGAACCCCCGACTCCCTGGTGCTTGCTTCCACATGCTCCTGGTCTGTTGGCGACTGGGGCAGACCTGGAGGAATGTGCATAGGCAGAGGAGCAATGGAGGGGACAAGGGGAGAGCGGGCCAGCACTGGGGGCTCTGAGCAGGGCCAAGGGATGAGGCTTCTGGGTCCCTGGATGCCTCTGTCCTCCTGCACAGCCTCGGCCCAGAGTTTGATTAGCTGGGCCTGGCTCTCCTGGTTACCCAACAGGCAGCTGGCGGGGGGCCAAGCTGCAGCGGGGAGGCTCCCTGGCACCTCCTCCTGCTCTCCTTCCCAGCTGGTAAACAGCAGAGCAGGAGCCAGCCACGCCACAGCCTCGTGACTCGCCCACTCCCCCCCACCTGGTGCACGTGGCACCTGGCATGGAGAGGGCAGGCGGTGTGTCCCTTCCCTCTTTGGCCCTCCCATCGTGCCATCCTCTGCTCCCGCCCCACCACGGAGCCTCACACTCTGCTGTCATCAGCACCTCTGTTCCTGGGGAGCTCCTAGGGGGTCCCACCAGCTGCAGTGGGAGGGACAAGGGTCCGGAGTGAAGAGGGACGTACCAAGGGGCTGGGGAGTAAGGAAGAGGGAGGGAAGCCTTTGGGGACCTTCTTATACTGAGAGTCCGAGGGTGTATGTCTGTCTGCCTCTCAGGCTCGGATTATCCTGTGTCCTTTTGGTAGACGCCAGCCCACGCGTCTGTGTGCATTTCTCTGCACCGAACAGGATGTCGGTCTGTTTTGGAGCTCTGCCCCTTGGGCCGGTTTAGAGTAAGAGGCAAAACTCTTCATAGCACCACCCCGCCCAGCACCCTCTGACAAGAAGAGCCAGCAAGAGGCAGGGGAAGGGGGTACAGGGGAGTGTCAGGGTGTTCTTGTCCTCCTTTCCCCAGAACTCCGGGTTGTTCTCTTTCTGCCTCCCCCTGCTGGCCCCTGCCTGCCCACGACAGGCTCCTGCTTGCCCCTCTGTACCTTTCTTCTTCAGGGCTTCCTTCCTCTGGGGCTCCGGGTCTCCCAGGGTCCTTCTGACTGTGCCAACCCCAATGGCAGGCACGGGGTGAGGGGGTTGCAGAATGCGGTGGGCATTCGGCAACCTGGGTACCTCTCCTAGTCGTGCCACCTTGTGCCGCTGTGTGAGGTGGGGAGGAAGTGAACGGGGGTCTGGAAGACAGGATCCTGGCTTCTAGGCCCACCCAAATCCAAGTCGAGCCTTGTGTTTCCCAGGCATTCTCCTGCCTCTGCCCCTCCTCTGCCCTAACCATGGGGGACTTGGATTCTTTCTCTTTGGGGCAAGAAGATACCTTAGTTATTCCTCTTGCCTAACCTCCCTTCCTCTCTGCAATCATAGCACCTTTTCTGGAGGAATCCTGTCAAAGCAGAGCCTGGCTATTTCCTCCTCTAATATATTCTTACATTCTTATGCAAGGAAGGGGTTGATAGGGATCAGAGAATCATTTCATCCCCCACGTGCCCAGTCCCCTTATCAGGCTGGGGAATCTCAACACAGGGGGCAAACAGCCTGGAGCTGGTGGGAGGGAGTGGTGGTGGCTTGGAACTGGGGAACAGTTACCAACTTCTCTTTCCCTTCCTCCCCACCCCCAAACCACAGAAACCACTTAAAGCTCAGCACAGGCCTGCCCTTCCAGGGAGGGCCTGGGGGCAGAGGATGAAAATCTGTGGGGCCTGGGCAGCCTGCCTCACCACACATCACCCCACCCTTGGAGGGCCACCTCCCTTGGGAAGCCTGCCTGATTCAGTGGTTAGGGACCACCCTTGCTAGGGAACCTAGGGGGCTCTATACCTGGGGAGACCTTGACCCACTGCAAAGACTCAGGGAGAGGCTGTGCCTCAACCATGACGAAAAGGACAACCTGGGCTGCAGAGCTCCAGGTCTCCACCCCTCTCCCTGTCACAAAGGCTATGGTGGCCTCGAATTTTCCATGGTGACCCTTCTTGTACCTTTCATCTGTCACTCTCCACCACGCAGACATCCAGGCTTGAGAGTAGCAGGGCACCTAAGAAGCAAGAGCTCTGATTCTTAGAGCAGAAAGACTTATGAGAATGTATGGGACCAGTAGGTGGCATGGAGATTAAGGTGGCTGGATCACAAATGGCCAACAGCGAAGTTCGAGGCCTGGACCCAGGTAAAACATTCCAGGTAAAACTTATTTCTTTTTTTTAATGTGATCTGAACCTCATCAACTATGGGCTCTGGAGCAATCATTGTCCTCAGTTACCACGGCGGGGAAAGGGAGGCAATACTGTGTCCTGGTTGGTGTTCGTGAAAGTGCTTTGGGGCCAGAATGGTCTGTACTCAGGAGGGGTTCCTAGGGCCTTATTTGTCCCTCCCATGTTGCTGTGGCCTTAGTTAGCCGGGATGTTCCTCTAGAGGCTCTGTGGCCCCCATCGCAGGACCGGGAGGGCCGTGAGCGCTGCGTGAACTGCTCCTGCGAGGAAGGAGGAATTGCCTTGCATTTCCCTTTACAACTTGTCCAGAGCAGCTGGGTTTGGGGTGAGAGTGGAAGGTCTGGGTGGAGTCACAGTCAGAAACCTCTCTGCAGCCAGGTGATCCCCAGGCAAGTTTACTTAACCTCTGGAGCCGATTTCCTCCTCTGTAAAAATGGAAATAATAATACCTACCTTACTAAGTGTTTGTGATGATGAACTGAGATAACCAGGTGAAGTATAGGACCCAGGACAAAGTACTGTGGTTAAAAAAAAAAAAAAAAAAAAAACAACTTCCTGAGAGAGCCAGATGGTGGCGCAGCGGCAGAACGCTATGCCCTGTGACTGCCACACGGTAGGTTCTGAGGTGGTGCCAGGGACGCCCTTGCATACACAGGCATGTGCTCGCCCTGAGCTGGGGCCGGCTGAAGGCGAGCGGTGGATTGTAGCATCAAGACCCTGGGGGATTGCTTTTGCTCTGTCTCTCTCATGAAATCAATAGAGAAATAAAAACTTTTAAAAAATGTTCCATGCTGGGGCTAGCAGGTGGTGTGGTGGTTAAGGCACTGGACTCCCACATGGCTGACCTCGGTTTGAGTCTTGGACCTGGTGGCTTAAAAACCACATGAGGAGTGTGCGTGTGTGTGTGTGTGTGTGCCCAAAATCCTGAGAGGAGAATGGAGGCATGAGCCATTCCCTCTTAGGGGTGATTTCTCACTTTCCCTCTCTCTGTCTCTCTCTGGTGAGCGCATGTGCCCTATGGCAAAAAAAAAAAAAAAAGATTCTATTTTTGGACCAGCATGGTGGTTAAGGGGTTAGATTCCACATGAGCAACTATACAGTTCAAGTCCCAGACCTGGTGACTTGAAAAAACACACCAGGCACATGGTCATGCACACCCCAAATTCTTAAAGGAGAATGGAGAAGAGATTGCAGTGTGCCCCGGGCCTTGGACGGTGCTTTCTCACTTTCCCTCTGGTGAATGCATGTGCCCACAGCAAAACCAAAAAAAAAAGAAAGAAAGAAGAAGAATAAAAGAGTCCATTCTCTGC